ACCAGGAGAGGAAATGACAAACGAGAATGTTCAGGCAGAGAGTGTCACAATGGAAAGCGTGTCAGAAGAGAAGGCAGTCGAGAAGGAACCAGAGGAAGAGACGCCCGAACATGCCGTCGAGATGATGCTAGCCGACGAGACGCGAGAGACTGTCGTTCTGGCCGAGCCCGTCGTCGAGGAGAGTGGCAGCAAAGAGGAAGAGAATAAGACGGGAGGGGAGCCTGTCTCGGAAAGGCACACCGCGGAGGAGGACGTCGCAGAGGTGGCCGCCCCGGGGGAAGGTGAAGAAAGCGGAGCCCAAGAGGACGTCCCACAAGACCAGGCTGCGGCAGAGGAGGAGCTGGAGAAGGAGGAGCTGGCTACGGCGGCACAAGACACGGAGAGTCCTGGCGAGGAGCAGGAGGAAGTTCCAGCAGACGCATCGGAGCAGGAAGTTAGCCATGAAGAACCCAACTCAACAGATATCATGGATCCCAGGGTTAAGAAGGAAGTAGAGATTACCGAGGAAGAAAAAAGAAGCGCCGAGGAAACTGCAGAAAGCGAGGAGAAACCCGAAGGCGAAATCATGCCCATCGATCTGGAAGCCTCGGAAGAAGAGGATACGCAGCCGATCCCAGACGCGGCCGAAGAGGACCATGCCGGGCCTCCCTCCCCAGCCGAAGGCCAGAGTGACCAGGGCGGCGTAGCCTTCGTCAACGATGCGCCGTCATCCCTGGACAGCTCTGAGTTATCCTCCGAACACGTCCCCATCCCGGTGGAGAGGCACGCGGACAGCGAGAGCGACAGCGGGGTGGAGATGACGCCGCCAGAAACACCTCGCAAATCCCGCATCTACATCGAGAATGACTATGAAGACCCCGCCCATGCCACCCACCCCGAGGACCCCGCTGTTTCCGAGGACGCCGGTCAAGAGGAGAGCGAGCACAGAGTAGTCAACAGCGGTCTCGAGAGCATGAGCATGACCTCGCCGACTCCTGAGGTGCCACCGGAAAGTATGCCAGTCGAGATCACTGACGAGGAAGACCAGGTTCCTCCTGCCAACAGTGAGGAAATAGAATCGGTCACTCCGCCCCTCGACGCCGCAGAGCCAGAGGAGAACATCACCACAGTCATCGATAAGGTCGAGGAGCCTCCCGCAGTGCACGAGACGGAGGAGGAAGTGAGCGTAGTCGAGGACGTCCCTCCGAGTTCGAGTGCTGCCCCAGTGCTCGCCGATGATTACTCAGACTCCTACACTGATCCTCTGAATGTGGCCGACCTGCCTGACATCGACGTGACGCACGAGGACTTGCCATCCAAAGACCACCCTCTGGACAAGGGCGAGGAAGCCGGCGCTGGACAGCCCAGTGATCATGCGTGAGTATCTGGCTTTCGCCATGTGCACGAGGCCACAATTTCTACAGTTCAGTTTCTGACATTCAACCAAATTCATTGATGTGTTCCATTATGCGTAGCCCACAAGCTGTGAGATTAAATAGTAAGTAAATCACCATGGGTTCATGATAAGTAGCATAAGATAACAAACAGTATAAAAATACAGTATTTCCTTGATAAATGAAATAGGATAACTAACATATACACATTACAGAGCTTCATTGTAGAATCCATTGTTAAGGGAAAAGATGTTAAAATCAAAATACACGGAAGAGCGATATTTCGAGTTCCCCCTTTGTACGAGTCACATTGTCTCGACAGAGGTGAGGTGGCAGGTGACTCCAGCGACCTGGCGGCGAGTGACCACATGCTGGAGGTGGAAGCAGGCACGCCTCGGGTCCTGCCTCCCCAGCAGGAGCAGGTGAGCGCCGCAGCTCCCACGACCCTCACCGTCGGATGCATCATCGGCATCGTCTTCGGCGTCCTCATGTCTCTAGTCATTCTCGTCGGTAAGCTGTGGCCGGGATTCGCTCTGCTTTGCCATTGCCCATACTGAATCGAAATCATATGCGATTGGAATAGATTGCTTTGGTCTAAATGAACTGGATACTGTTTACTGACAGTCCCGCATCAGTTACATAATTACCTTTACTCAGAACACAAAATTCCGCTAAAGGTTTTAATCAGCTAAACACACACGCTCCGCTCTCTCTCTCTCTCTCTCTCTCTCTCTCTCTCTCTCTCTCTCTCTCTCTCTCTCTTTCTCTCTCTCTCTCTCTCTCTCTCTCTTATCTCTCTCTCTCTCTCTCCTATCTCTCTCTCTCTCTCTCTCTCTCTCTCTCTCTCTCTCTCTCTCTCTCTCTCTCTCTCTCTCTCTCTCTCTCTCTCTCTCTCTCTCACACACACACGTCCACATCCACTCAAACCAAAAAAAACATCCACACCCACTTACCACCCCCCTTTCACAGAGTCCCTCTAACCTCCCCTTCTTTTCTCCCCCCCCCCCCCCCCGCAGGCGTCGGAGGTTTCGTCCTGTACCAGCGACGAACTCTGAACCGCCCCAAAGCCCTGAACTCTGACCGAGGCTACGCAGGAAGTGACTCCGGAGGATACATCGACGACCAAG